TCAGTTGCTAATTAATTGGGGAACCAAACATAGGAAGTAGAATTTGTAACCGACTTTCACTCATATACTTGCTGCATACCTCAATTTCTTACTGATCATGTTCGTAACAAAATGTTAGGATGGTAAAATGATTTAAACTGTGAATGCACAGAGTGTCGAACATTCAACGACATTCATCAACCAGACTAACTCTTATGAGAACCAATTACAGATCGATACAGTGTCGAAGACTCTCCGACAGTCCATAGTTTGCTTTTCTTACTGGCTTGCAATGGCCAGTACGCTGCTGAATCAACTCGCTTATGCTTGGTGGAATACAAACTTTCGACGACAAAACAAGGCAAGAAGAACGTTGTATTTCAAGCTGTGTTGTTCGACAGGGAATGCCATCGAGCAGATTGAACAACAGGATTTCAGGATATCACTAATGCTAATAGTCGGGGTAATTCGCTTAACCGGAAACCATACTCCGCTGTGCATTTCGTATTTAAAAATCAGCAAAGCTTTCTAATTTGAAGAACTTATCTACTTTTGTAGCTGATTATACGTATTCTGATTCCACATCACTCAGTATTAGTTCTAGGTGCGATAAAAGAGTTGTGGATGGGCTACGTGGTAGCCGTGAACGTGCTCATGATGTGCAGGTTTAACGATCACTGCCTATTAAAGAATACCATTATTTACAGTTTTTTCTCAGTGTAAAACTGTGTCGAAAAGCATGTGTTATAAAAGAGAAAAGTTAATTTGTCTATTTTACTTTCTAAATGTTTTAAACTTCGCTTCCGGTGAAGATCCAGATGACAAAATGTTCTGTTTAACTCGAAAATTCGCTCAAGAAGCGAAAACAAAGACAAAAGCATGAATTCGGAAGAAAATATCAAATTCACTCACGTAAAGGGAACTACCAGTTTCTAATGGAGGTGTTAAACCCGAAATGAATGGCGACGACTAAGCCGAGTGCCTTCTCTGGTCAAAACAATACAACTTAGCCCCACTATGCGGAAAGTCTACTTTGTTCTTTCCATTCAACCTTGCCTTGAATAGTTAATATCTTATTATGGTGTTAAATTTACAAAATGGCTCTCGCTTTTTTCAATATGACGGTGATTCGGATACGTTATTGTAAACATGAAAAACACATTATAGTTTATGAAGGGAACGCAAATGAATAAGACTTCACTTGAAAGGAAAAGTGTGTCAAATCTGGAAGGAACAGTACCGAAGTCAATATATATTCTTTCTTTGACAAGCAGGTTGATAAGCAGTTTTTATTCGTCTAACGTTTCGACGTCTTCGTCTTCATCAGAGTTGATGATCCGAGCGATAGTCCACGGTTGTCCTTCGTCTCGACGTGGTTGGCGTCTTCGCCTTCACACCGAGTTGAGCGGACCATCTTTCGAATGAGGCACTTGATGATGCCCTTTTATGCTGATAGTTGGTAGCGGTGGTTATCCGGTGGTAGCAACTTAAAAAAGTACCGAAGTCATTCCTCGGACGTTCTCTTATAATGACTAGTCCCAATCATTAACCGTATTAATAGCTGTTATTACAGAAAATGTCTTTACTCTTCATATTCTGTTGAAACATAAGTGTTAAAGCAGAATTTTTTCACATAGCAGTTTGAAAAGACAAAATCGTCATAAGTTTCTGGACAAGTTGATGTTTAGTAATAGATTTTCTGGTCACATGTGAAAAAGAAAATAATGGGCGTACAATGCGAAACCTAATATAAAACACAAAAATTCGAAATTGAAATGATTTATTACAAACAACGAGAAGCTGCTGTTCGCCATACTGCTTGGCGGCTTATGAATGTCAGGTCGTTCCTTGACCACGCTTTGATAGTCTTCAATTTTCTTAGAGCCTTCATTCGCTCGAATTGGACAAACTCCTAAAGTTTTTCACTTCATCAGACTCGGTTGATATTGCAAAATATTCCTGTTAAATATCTTGAACCTGTGAATTGGCAAACCCAATCAACATATGGTCGCACATCAGTGAATATATTCCATCGTACGCCTGAAACGAATATTAAAGGTCAATGAAGAAATACAGAATATTGAACTCTGGAATGAAGAGCCGAGGCAGAGTGAAAACACTGTTGTTGAGTTCTTCTTTATATCAAGCCTCATCTAAGGAATTCTCCACTTTCGATGAAAACGAAAACTGCCGCTGGTCATGAGAATCTCTTAACGACAAGATCCACACAAAGATCGACAACGCCCTTACAAAGAGAAGATGGTGAAAAGTTTGCAGACTACAATTGATTTCCTGCTTTAACAGTTGTGAAAGAAAAGGCAATTGTATGACCATCATATTCTGGAATAAACCCTTTTCTACGATTTTTAAAACTCGATTGGAAGAATAAAAATAAGAAAAAAGCACAATATAACAAAAACTAAGTGTGACATTCTTTACGCGTCAGGCATTGTGTTCCAACCTCATATGATTTGTACATCAGTGCTGCTAGAAGCTGACGGCCAGTAAAAACCACTAGGGATTACTTGGAAAAAAAATACCACGAGGGATGTCCATGAATAAGTCATAAATACCACTTTTCACTATGAGATCTTGTGACGCATTATAAGAATTTCACCATTCACATTGCGGCATCCAGAAAATAACGGAAAATTGCAGATCAGGAATCAAGCAACATTTCTACCAGGTTCTTTCTGGCTGTGACTGGTCTCCATAATCTTTTTAAAACCACAACCGTTTTCGCATGATAGGCCCACTGAATCGCGTGTCATTGGAGCAGAATTCAGACGCGCATTGATATCACTATGAACAGTCCGAAACGTAGAGGGGCGTGCATAATGAAGTCAATGCGTACGGTCCTGAAAGGGTTGACGACGAATTCGCACTTATAGCAAACACCACGGTAACACACTGAAATTAGAGTGCCTTAGAATTAGAGTGATGGTTACCGCAAGTTTTTAATTCCTACTGCGTATACTCTAATCCATGAAGAAACATCAACTTCCAAAGATTTCCTAATTGTTTCTATAGTCGTAATAACCATGATCTGCATCACGGCTATATAGTGAATGCCAAAGTCGTTGGCTTAGAACGACAAGTGTATGTCTTGGTGCAAAAGAAAATCCCTACTAAGCATTCGGTCTTTCCGAGAATAAGATTAAGCTAAAAATACGTGAATGTAAGCCACATTCTATGGAATGGTTAAGATTTAGTTAGATGAGAAAACAAACCGAATTAATGAGGGAACCCAAGTAAGATCGGCTCTTGTATCATATGTGAAGCTCAACCGTGTCACGTCTTGAAAAATTTAATTGTATTGCCAACGCTGTCAATATATTACTACTATTTTCTTTTTGCATCATCTGACAAATAAACATACGTGAAGGTGTTTTGCATTGTGGGCTTATTAAAGAAGCGATTCCAATCACAGTGTATCTGTTTCGTTTATTGAGCTGAAACAAAGGACCGCCGCTGTCTCCCTGCAATAATGCGCTCTCATGGTATTCTTGCAAGACTCCAGAAAGACTTTTGTGTTCTGTAATTTCTAACTTATTAACTACGCAAGTTATTCGCTCTACAAATTGCTCGAGTGACAGGAAACGTTTGAAAAAAATTTGTTGTCACTGAATTTCTTAGTTTTTTTAGAACATACTACAGCACTGAGTCGCTGTAGAATCACTTTACTTACAACAACTCATCTTCTATTAGTTGCAAAAGCGCTGGCAAAGACTTTACATTGGGTTTATGAACATCACTGCACTCAACACGTCAAACATGGGGACGGACAACGAAGCTGTGGCAAACTCAGAATCTAGAGGATTCCAGTTAAGCTTTTCAAAAACACGAAAATCGACCACTTACTCTGCAAACGGATGAGCTTGTGCTCTTCGCCTCAAGATGATTTGTTTGTTTTATTTCGAATACTCTTTTATACGTGACTACCTGTAATCCTTTCAAATACGGGTTCTCCAGGGTTGCTGAAAAATCATTAATAACTAATCGAGAAAACTGATTCTCTACCTCTTTGAATGCCCTTTTGCGCAATTATCCAACGGAAGATTCTTCGTTGAAGGAAACGAAAAGAGTTTATTCCATAGAATTCTACTGTATTAGAGCCTCAATTTTTAATTACTGGTTATTGAAGACCGTCCTCACCTTTGAGGATTGCTTGAGGCTTACCATGTTGACATTATATTTCTTCCAATAGATTTTCAGTAATTGCTCTTAGTGTTCCTTGTAAATAGAAATTTCGAAATACATTCGTATTCCGATCTCTGTGTCATCTTCCTGGGCACATTGTGATTTGCATGAAATGGGACATCTGAGCGCCCTCCCTCTCAGCCACATGTCATAGACAGTTATGGCTAGTTCTTAGATGAAGCACCTCTGTGTAGTTTCAATATCTCAGCTTTTTCCTTGACTTTTACTTTTTTTATTGTATTTGATCCATCTTCACGTCTCTTGTACGGACCCCAGCACTTCTCACATTCGATTCGTTTCCTCGCATCCATTGTCCACGAATTACTTTTACGGGTGGCTTCGGTTGCTGCTTGAGGATTTCCATTTCATCTTGAATGTCGTGGAATGGTAGTCGAGTAATTCTCCCTGGAGTCCTGAGTTAGCCGGGGTAAAGCGACGAGTGAAGACAAGGCCTGTATCAATCTCCCGACTTCACTACCGCTGTGCTATCCGCTTCCTTTTTCCTTGACATAGTACTATTATTACATGTTTAGGTCGTTCAACAAATGATTTCGATATTCATTTTGGACAAAACGTAAGAATAATGAAGAATCTAGATCAGAGGGGTAAATAACTGGAATGTGCTGAAAGTTGTTGGTTTTCATCCGATTTTGAGTGAACCTTATCATTGAAAATCGGTTACTCAGAAGAAGAACGTATACAGCGCTTTCAAAGAAGTTACTGTAGCAGAACTAAGGTTAACGATTTTAACTGACGTTTCGTGAATTAGAGCTAATTATGTCGCGGTCATACAGTTGCTTTTACTCTTGACGTCGGCGTGCTTATAAATTTTTGAAATATCCGAGATCACTGCATGAAAGACCCATGTTGATAAGAGAATTACTAGGAGCAATAATGTGGGCGCATTTTATGGAAATGGTCTTACGATCCAATCCTGATCCATCGGCTTTTACGGTTTTTGAAAGCGGCATGTTCTTGTCAGGCATACAAATCGGTATTCCATTACTGTATGGCACATCGCTGGCTAGTTCCATAAGCGCCAAATCATTGACTTTTTCACAATAGTCGAAATGCTTGTAAACTACAATCTGCAAATAATAAAAAATGTAATAAAGCACCTTTTTAGATGTAGGCAAAACATGGCATTAAAATTTGTTCACCTTGGAAACATTAAAAGCGTTTTGGCATAGCTCTATTCTGCTACACTTGCTACCAACATAGACTGACCAGTATTGTTTGTCCAGGACTGGATAATTGTCTCTAAAATTTTCTGTTATCTTATGCACACCGATAATTTAAACAGGAGGTAAATGTGACACTCAACTGGCAGTTGAGTTTTGAGAGCAGAAGTCGGTCACGTTTCTAACTCGATACATACAGTGACCCGCTGTGAGAATGTGACGTGGTGATACTTGCACCCCACTGCAGCGCATCCACAGACCTGAATGGATATAGCATTCTTATATCTTTTAACACACACTATGAGAAATCGTATTGGCAAGAATGTAGCTTTCTGTATCATCTGTTCCACCAATTGAAAACCAGGCAACTAGTAGTGTCGGTACAAAAATGTCAGTCTGACCTTGTCGCGCTGCAGAAGTTCTACGTAAGCAATACGATGAACGTGAAAAGCATCATGTCTTTTATTGGGGCTGTTTTCCAAAAATATTCAGCTGTTGTGTTTTCTCTGGTCAATTACATTCTGTTAAGTGGATTGGTGGTAGCATTTGCTTTGAGGTTGTCATGCAGATGTATCACATGCGTATCTCGTAATATCCTTCGATACATTGGCGTGTACAACAGCATCCGTGATCTCCCGTTATAGAAGCCAGGTGGAACAAGGTATTTCTGTTACCAGATTTGTGACATCGATTGTTTGAGACCTTGTCTAGTTGGTAGTGCATGCGATGGAAATATTCACAGCACTTTTGCCAAATTTATGCAAAATCCAGTTCGCAGTCGTCGAAGGGAATTAGTAATTTTGAACGATGGAGTTTGCACCTCTTAACGTCCATTGTAAATTTCCGATTACCTTTTAAGCTATCCAAGGCTTTAATATCGTTTTTCTTAGCTGTGCATTTAAGCTATCATGTTGGTCTCCATACTTAGCTTTATAACCGCTGGAAAATCGAAGATATTTTCACTAAAACTCTATGAATTGTCTCGAGTATTCGCGGCATGGTATTTTGTGGGTTATATAACGTTTGAACTTTAGACTTGGCTAACCAAACTTTTATCTTAATACAACAACAATGAAAATAAACAGGCTAACAAGTCTAGAGCATTTGCATAAAGACTGTAGAGTTGTTTTCATACATTGGTGATCCAACAAGATAAGCACCTACAGCATTCCCCTCACTGAGGGACCTAGAGCCTGTTAGTCGCAAAGATACGTTCCCAAGTGGCGGATAAGGGATTCAACGCGAAACAAGAGCGGCTGTGCACCTTGCTGAAACGCAGATGTATCCAGAAGGTGGACTCCCCTGTTCGGTTCCACCGATTTGACACGCTCCTTTTGTGTTTACAAAAACATATTCGTGCCTGTGATTGTGGTTTTGTAGTCTGCGGATTGTATTCTAAGAGTAAATGCCGCCAAAAGCCTGAAATGGACTAGGAAGTAAGGTGGGCATCTTTACTTACAATGCACGTCCCCACGTCCCTTGCATGTGGATCCTCCATAGAGAACTTGATCATGCAGGCTAGAAGGATGAGCTGCGATGTCATCGAACCGACAAATATAAGAAGACACAGCCGATTCAACCCCGTTTATGATACTGGAGAACAGATTTTCCTGGGAACATTCGATAATAGAGGAGTCTGCAGCTACTTTAACACAAGCAACGGTTCGTTCAAACAACTAGCAAAAAAAATCGGATATTTATCGCCGTCTACGCACTGACATCAAGCTGTGAGGAAGAAGTGGTAGAAGCGTTCTAGTTGGAGTTGGAAAGGTTTTACCCAAAGAAATTACATGTTTGAAGGTCATCATTGGAGATTTGAACAATAGGATCAGAAAATAAGCTGTTATCACCGCACGTTATCACCGGACTATCACATCCACCATCAGCATCCTGCATAAAAGGCATCACAGAGTGAATATGCTTCACTCGAGAGATGGCCCGCTGAGGAAGACCTGACTCGGCAAGAAGGCGAAGCCGTCGCATCGAGACGAATAACAAGCGTAGACCATCGACTCGGATCATCGGCTCTGATGACGAAAAAGACGTCGAGACGTTAGTCGAAAATAAAAATATTTATCAACCTCGCGCAAGCTGATCAAAGAGAGAATGCTAGCATCAGATTCAGAAGATCCGAAATCGCCAAATTGGAACTCACAGATTAGAATGGAAGAAACATGGTGAGCGGCTGTCTAAGTTTCTCACGGCAACCAAGACCATTCAAGGTAACTCGCAATTCTAAAAGTTCCACTCTCAACGCTGGAAGTGGTGGGAGTCTCCCAACAGAGAGTACCATAACGAAATAAACCACATTGTTATAAATCGAATGATTTTCCTAACCCATGCCGCTATTGTCGATAATTCTATACAGTGTCAGACTATCCCATTCGTTCAAGCTTTCACTGGAATAGGGAACAAGAGGCTAAATTCAAAAACCATAGACCAGAAACCACCATAAGCCGAGATTTATTCACTTTGTTGGTCTGCTGTTAGAAAGATCCTGTTCCTAACAACGTCGGAGAAGAATGCGATCGTCTCATTCAACGTCTTCACCTGCGCGGTGTGAAAGGTGGCAGTTCGAAAGTCACCAAAAGGCGTCTGTGTCCAGAAAAACTCAAGGTGATATGCTAGCGTGGAATCGCGCGAGCCACAGAGAGCCCCTAACTCATTTCCGAACTTGAAAAACAATGTAGACAGGCGATAAAAGAAGGTCCTAGAGTGAGACGAGCAGCTTCTGGTTGAACTTGTAGAAGAAAAGCATTCACAAAGCCTGCGAAATCTTTGCCAATTACGTAACCAATATGATTGCATTGCGACAACCAAATGGAACAGTTACAATCCCCAGAGAGGGAATGAGGAAAATCGCTCGCGATTGCTGCTTAGATCTCTTCCGTAGCCACGTTCTTGTGCTCTCATATTAAATAACGAGAGACGAATATGGCATTCTACTGATTTTACTTTCTAAAATTCGCCATTATGGTTTCGTAGGCGAAGAATATTTTACATGGCCTATCGACATATCTACTGTACGGATCCCAGCACTTAATTCTACTTTCTCGCATTCATCCTTCACAATGGCCTTTGAACACTTCGCGTGCTATTTCGGTTACTCACTGATGATTTTACCTTCTTTGTGAATGTTGTAGAGCGATGACTGAGCAGTTTTTACTGCAATTTTGGAGATAGCTGGGCTAAGGCGTTCTTACGTCGTTTAGAGGAGAGCGCTGGAGGAGGGAATCGAACTAGAGCCTTTGCATCCTAGTTGACAGCATGGCTAACCATTACTCCATTCCTTCTTTTCGTACTTTATTTGTTGGAATGAAATCTTTCTATTCAGTGGACGAAAAGCAAGACCGTGCTATTTTTGAAAATCGGAGACCTCCATGATATCGGTAACTACTGCCCAATATTCTTGCTGTCTGTCGTCTGTTAACCTTTCACTAGTTTCATCCTAAGCAAACTGGGCGAAAAGCAGCGATTTAAGTAAGCAAGGTTTCTAAAATCATTGAGAACGATTCACCATATCCACAACATAACACGACATTTTTCAAATATCATGACAGCACCAGGAATCGCTCTATCTCGCGTCAACTAATTTAAGTAAATTTCTTGTCTCATTTCAGACAGAAGAAGTCACGGAAGCTTCGGACAATCAATGCATCCCTACTGATCAAAAAATGACCGCTCCACAACGATATTAACATCAAAATCAAGAGAGTGGTTAGGCAAGACGACATTATGTTGCCAGTTATCTGCTGGCATCCATCAGAACGTTATGAGAATCTAAACATTAGCCAGGCAAAAAGAATGCTTGCCGACTTTGATAACGCCTGCCGAAAGATAGGTCTTCATCTAAATCTCATGAAAACGGTGTTTATGAGGAACAGATAGCTTTCATATGCACCATTGACGCTCAACGGTACGAATACCCTCGAATGTCCTAGTTAACTCTATCTAGTTCGGGAAATCCAAATGATGAACGAATTAGCTTCAGAGTTGACAAGGACGCAGCCGGCAGCTCGGGAACCTTTCAAGATCATATAGGATGCAGTGAAGAAAACAAAGAATGTTGGGTGGCGTGCCCACCTTTTCGACTTCACGATTCAACCTGCCTTAACATATGGGTCTGAAAGTTGGTAGTTGCGTCGGTAGGATGAAAGATCACTAAGCTTTATACAACGCACATTTAGAAGATTATGAAAAGAGTATGCTGCATCACGCAAGAGATTAGAGACACTGTTATGCGTGCCAGTTTACGAAAATGAGATTAATCCAACACGTATTGCGTTTCAATGTCAATCAGTGGACAAGACCCGTTAGCGAACGAGTTCCTCGAGGCGTTAGACATATAGTAGGAAGGTCAGCCACCCGATCCTCGCTGTTCTTCATGAAGACACTAGAAAGAAATTATGAAAGTCCCTAGAGAAAACAGAGACGACTGGGCAACTCTTGTATGCGAAAAGGACATAACGACACGCGAAGGAGGCTTACTGGGCGCGCTCTATTCAATCGAGAATCAATGGGACATCGGCTGTTGCAAGTGGCTAAGTAGAAAAATTAGCAGAGAAGCACGAAAGATTGAACACTCAGATGGTCATTCTAGTATTCTCTGTTGAGCAGGCTGAGTTTACTAAAAGGGGTCCATGTGTTAGTTAACGACGACACGATTGAGATTTAGCTGCGAAGTGAATGAAGTGATACAGATTTTACGAAACACTTCACAGATCGATCATAAAAAAAAACGATCGAACAGAGAGCTGTGGAAATACTGTCTAAGAATAGTGGAAAATAGGCTCTAAAGCGCACTTAGATTTGCTTCATTTCTTAGGAAGACCGTTTTATTTATGTCCAGACTTAGATAAGGATTTCCATACGTGGGAACTCAGTCAACAAGCATTCGCTCCGCATACATTAGGTTGTTAAGAAATAAATGAGCATTTTAGAATACTTATTGTTTCAATGAATTTTTTACAAATGAAGTAACTTCATGTCTTGCAATATTGTGTGTTTTTAAAAAGCTGATTTTGTACTCTTTCCAACGTGTTTTTATAATTTGTCAAAAGTTAAATTTTTATTCCAATTTTGAGCTCTACAATTTTAGATCTCAAGAATGGATTTTCGTTAGATTTTCTTTCATGAGTTCAAACTCAGTCGCAGTGAGCAGAGACTGCTCAAAATATTGATGAATTTTGGGGTAAAGGTGGGGGTAAAGAGTGTTGGTGAGTCAACAGCGCGAACATGGTTTCGGAAATTCCGATCCGGTGATTTCGATATCGAAGATAAGAAAGGCCGTGTACGTCCAGTGAAATTAACGACAACGAGTTGAAGGCACTGGTGGAATCAGATATGCGAACAACTGTTCGAGAGCTTGCACAAAACCTTGGTGTAAGCGCAAAAACAATTTCCACCCACTTAAATGGCATAACAAAGACAAAAAAGTCGACAAATGTGTGCCGCACGAATTAAACGATAATCAAGAAAAACGCCGTTCTGAAGTATCATCTGCTCTTGTTCTGCGCAATAAAAACGACGAATTTCTTGATCGAATTGTGACGCGAGACGAGAAATCGATTCAGTACAAGTGTTCAAGCTCCACAGCACTTCCAAAAGCCGAAATTGCACCAAAAAAGGTTATGTTGACTATTTGGTGGTCTGCAGACGGGCTGATACATCACAGGTTTTTTAATCGGGGTGAAACGATTACGGCAGAGAAATATTGCCAAAATTCGACGAAATGCACCGTAAACTCCAAGAACAGCGACCAACATTACTCAGCAGAAAACTACCAATCCTTCTGCACAACAGCACCAGGCCTCACATTGGTTAACCAGCGCTGCAGAAGAAAAACGACTTGGGTTACGAAACTTTGCTTTATCCGCCATATTCCCCAGGTCTACCTCCTAACGGCTATCACTTCTTCAAGCACCTTGGCAAGTTCCTGCGCGAGAAATGGTTTAGCAACCGCGATAACGTAAAAAATTCCTTCAACGAATTCATTGCTTCCAGAACTCTAGAATTTTATGCAACTGGAATTAGTAGATTTGTTCCTCGTTGGCAAAGATGTGTAGATTTAATGGTTTCATTTTGACTAGTAAAGTTTTGCTTGGAGCAACTTATGACATTTTCAGTAATATAGTTAGAAACGCTCAATCATTTCTGAACTACGAAATATTTGCGGACATTTTCAGAATGACGTTGTCAACAAAGTAAATAAAGTGCACTTGTCAGCTGTAGATTTTCACTTCTTCATTTTTCCAGACCATTGCTCGCGCGGTGTCGTTGAGAATGGCTATTAGAAATATTTGTGAAAGGTATCCAACTTCTTCTTCGCCGAAATAAGGTTGAGTACACAAGTCATTATCACTCATTGGCCCTTTTGGACCACCCTTGTGAAGCATCGCGTGAATCCTAGCATGTTCTCCATATAGAAAGCATCTTATTTGAAGAGGTTTCTCGGGAATGGAGTCCTAAATCGTCTTATAGTTAATAATATAGAAATGTTTTTGACCTTGCTTGACCATGCTGGAAAAGGAAATAAGGAGCTAATTTATCATATCGAAGCTGGACCGCCTTAAGTAGTTCTAGCTGTACTATTTCTGCTACAGTGAAATCGGTGCGAAGTGATACCATACTGATTATGAAGTTGTCATATATATATATATATATTTTTGGGAGCCCCAGCATAAATTCCGCTTTCTCGCATTCTTGCTGGTTTAGCTATTGTGGTTCACTGGAGTCCTGAGGTGAACCTAGCCAAAGTTTGCCCCAGCCCTCACCAGGACCACCACAGGCAGCCGCCGTTCTTGTGGATCAGAAGGAGATTTGCCACTATGCGACTAGTTTGATATCAGGAATATGGTGGATCCTCATACTGCTTTACTTTTAGCTGGGCTTCCTGATGGAGACTCCAGACTCCTCGGCTTGTGATGTCCTTCTGCAGCGAAGAATTCCCGCTGTACATCACAGCCCAGCGCCCAGGAACACTATTCGTTTCCGAACGCTTTTGCACCGCTATGCCAGAATTC